AAGTCCGCGATAAGTTGTCAAATTTTAAATCTTATTTTTTATAATAGATCGCACAACTAAGGCATATTTGTCATTTGTTTACCTCATTTAGTGGCGCCTACCTAGCTTGGGAATTAGGCTCTGAAACTTGGACACGTAAAGATAATGTTATGCCTGCTCTTGGTATTATGAAGAATAGTATAGATGATGATAAGTAAATAAATTTTCATTAAGGAAATTTTTAAACAATTTTCAAAAAGGTTTTGACTGAAAATTAAGAATATTTTTTTAGAATGCTTAAATGGTCAGAATTTATATTTACAAAATCTGTTGCCCATTTTAAACGTGCTGTATTAACAAACGTTGAATTAGCTTTGTTAATAGCTATTGTATTTACAAAATCAGGTACACATCATATCACCCGTTATTCGAAATTTTTTTAAATTTTATTTAAATAACTTTAATTTTTTTCAAAAAAAAAGATGCTGAAGGCTTGTCTCCCGAAGGAAAGGAATTACTTTATAACGAATCCGTTAAATACACAAATATTTTACTTCGATATAATCAACGAAGATTAGGTTTAATTGAAGGGGCTCAGAGATTGGATGAATATAGTCGACTAATTAATCGAAGTATTGAAAATGAATATACTGGCCGTTCCATGGTCTCTCATCAATTTAAATATTACTCGCAGAGTGTACATTACTTTAAATGCCCAAACTTTATTGAAAAATTTTTGGAAAAAACTGATTAAACACAAATGATACTTGTAAATAATATTAGGGTAGCACAAAACCGTTTAGCTAAACGGTATACGGTAAACGGGTTTTTTGGTAAAATTAAATGGAACGGTATACGGGTCCCATATAAACGGCATAAACGGTAGGCGTAGTGACAGAAGACCCACAGCCTTCGATATCCCTCCATGGGACTTAACTAACTCTCGCTATAATCCAGCTAATCCTAAATACCCCTTTGATCCTAAATATCCCTTTGATCTACTTTTCCCCTTCATCGTCACTGACAAAAAGTTTGGGAATTTTGAAAGACCAAGAAGCCAGATTTCTACTTTTTTTAGTGACACAGGTGCGAATTCTGAGAATTTGGGAAGGCCAATTAGTTATTTTTATACTATTTTTTATATCTGATTTTTTTACACGACATGGACCGGATTTTCCGGAACAAAATCCGTGAAATCAAAATCCCTCTTCATTAAACAAGCTCCCCGGTAATTGGGACAATAATATTCCCATCGTTGGAACAGCTTCACCCGTTGTTGCAATAAGAGTCCACATTGTTAAAATAACATCCACGTTGTTGGAACAAACTTCCCGATTGTTAGAACAACCTTCCTTAATATTGAAACAACTTTCCCGTTGTTGGATCAATCTCTTATTAAGGAAAACAGAACTAACATCATTCCTCACGCCGAAATTTACAAAAAAAGTAAAACAAAAAAGTTGTGGGTCTTTTGTCTTTGGGTATTCTGTCCCTGTGGGTCTTCTGTCTGTGGGTCTTTTGTCTGTGGTTCTTCTGTCCTTGGGTCTTCTGTCTGTGGGTCTTCTGCGTCGACACGTAAACGGTATACGGTCCTTCTAAACGGCGCTTAATTCGCTTAATTTTTTCTTAGAATTAGTGGCTTAAAAAGAGACTCTGCTTTCTGACACACAAATAACAAAAAATTTTCGCCACCGGCGCAAAAAAGTGAAGAAATATAGCTTGAAGGCCTTCCAGAATCATAAAATTTTTGCCTGTGGCGCTGAAAAAGAGAGTTCCTTATTATCCTTTCAAATCCTCAATCGCTCTAAATCACATTATATCCACCTTAATTCTCTGATATCCCTTCAAATCCCCTCAATCAATTTAAATCCCCTTGCATCACTTTAATCCTTAGATATACGATCCTGATCTCCTTAATGCTCTGATCCCCTTTAATAACTCATAATATACCGATATCCCACCTCAATTCTCCGATATATATTCAAATCCTCTAAATCTCCAAAACCACTGATATCACTCTTAATCACCAGGCATCTCTTCAGCCCTTCATTATCCCTCTAAACCCATCGATATAATGAAATTATTGTTGAATTATAATTTTTATAAAGAGGGATGATCATAATTAATGATTTTCATCGATTTTCTTGAATTACGAATTGATTTTAAAAAAATTTTAAAAATAAACGGTAAACGGACGTTTAAACGGGGTCTTCAAAAATAAACGGAACGGTATACGGGTCTGAGATAAACGGTATACGGTTTTTTCAAAATTAAACGGTTTTGTGCTACTCTAAATAATTTTTTACAAATGACAAGTTTTCTTTTCCGTTCTCCGTCTCTAAATAGACGGAATTTCGCTTGATATCTTTTCCACTACAAATATATATCTTTTACCAAAAATTTTTTTTGTAAAATTGTAAAAATCTTTAAGATAATTAAAGTTAACTAATGTGAACTAAATTAAATAACTAAAAGGTCTAAAAGAATGTTTAGTAAAAAGGGAGGTGTTTAATATAGAGGTTTTTGTTACTAGGCAAAATTCTCAATTTTGGCATCTAATTTAGAAGTTCTTTTACAAACATTCAACCTAAACTTTGATTTTTTTCAAAATACCAAGAACTTCATTCATTGCTGGGCGAGATCTTGCTTCTTTTTCTATGCACATCTGAAATTTCAGTTTTATTTGTAATATAAATTTTATAAAATATTTTCCCTCTCTAAAATAGCATGGCTTACACTATCAGTAGATAAATTCCGTAATAACATCGGCAAGAATTTTAGAAAAAAATTAGTAATAAAAAAGTTATGGAAGAACCCAAAAAATTTCTTGAAAATTGAAAAATTTAATGATATTCAAAATATACAAATCAGAAGTTCAGTGGACAGAAAAAAAAACAAATAATTTTCCCTCTCTAGCAATGATTGGCCGGGGGACAATACATTATGGGTAGGGTTTTCGGTTCTGGACCGAAACGAAGAACTGATGATTTTCGGTTCGGTTCTTCATTTTGTCCCGGATATACGAAAATTTTGGTTTCGATAAGAATTTCCAGGTACCGACAACCCTATTGATGGGGTTTCAAAGAAATTACTTCAATAAAAACCATCAAATCTAATTTATAAACTTGCCAAAATAAGACTATTGAAATGCGCAAACTCTGGATTAAACATTTTCTTATCTATATGATCAAATACGACGTTCGGACTGTATAACAAAGTGTATATAGTTACTCCAAATGAGTAAACATCCGCTTTTTTAGATACCTAAAAGATTTATTAAGTGTTTGTTCAATTTTAATAAATTTTGGCTAATTATGTTAGAGGCATTATTTATAATTAAAAGAATGAATTATCGCAGAAAGTCAACAGTCATAGAATGGATGTTGATTTTCTGTTGCTGACTTTCTGCTCTGTCAACATTCAGTTGGTTAAGCTGTCAACATCCACCAGTGCTGGGTATGGCTCCGGGAGCTAGCTCCGGAGCCGGCTCCGGCGGAGCCGGAGCTAAGATTTTGAAAACCCCGGAGCCGGAGCTGGAGCCAAGAATTTCAAACACCGGAGCCCGGAGCCAACAAATGGCAAATACCCAGCACTGACATCCACACCATATTATATGCAAATAGAAAATAAATCTACCCAAACTGTAGATAATTCAACATTAATTTCCGGTGCCATGTACACATCTGTCCCCAAAACTTCATTTGACAAGACCTTAAAATCCCGATTCTCCATAAATTCAGAAGTACCAAAATCAATCAGTTTGAATATTGAATTATTGTTTTGATCCCTTTCATGAGTACTAACAAAATTTTCAGATTTTATATCCAAATGTACAAAGCCTTCTATAAATAAAAATTAATTTTTTTATTTAGTCCAATAAAAAGCGGCATAATTTAAGGTAAAACTGCAAATACAAATATTTTAACGTGCCTTAACAAACTTTTTTTTAAAATACAATAAATTCTTACGTTCATGGAATTGTTCAAGTGCTTCAGCTGCACTTATTAGAATTCGTCGTAACTGCCCTGCGTTATACCCATACTTCTTAGTGAACCAATTATAATATTTTAATAAATTCATTCTTCCAAGTTCTACAACAATTGATTCAACTTCTAGGCCATTTTGGATGGTTTTTGACTCGCTTAAAAAATTAAAATAAAAAAAATATGAGAACGATTTATGTAAATTAGTTCCTTGATAGAGAAGAAATTGATAATAGAATTTACAAGTTAAATATTTTATTTTTCAAGTCTAGATTTAAGGGTGGAGGCTAATTCAAGGAATAACAACTCAAGGAACAGACAAGTCAATGGAATAATACTATTTTAAGAATCGAAATTTTTTGAAAAATCAGAATTTTACTAAATTTTTTTAAATTCTGCTTTTCGAAGTATTCTAATTTGTTCTAAATTCTTATTTTTTAAAAATATACAGATTTTTCAAAAAAAAATTCGTTTTTCAAAATATTCCATGAGTTGGTCATTCCTTGAGTTGATCGTTCCTTGACCTGTCTTTTCATTGACTTGTCTGTTCCTTGAGTTAGCTCGACACGAGATTTAAGACCTGAACACACGTCTTTCCATTAAATTTTTGCAAATATTTTTTAAAGAAACACCCATAAAATTATTTATATTTCAATTAAAATTTTTGAAAACAAAAACTTTTTACATTTATTAAAATATATTGACCAAGGAAAAGTATGTACAATGGTGAAAAAAAAACATTGTAGGGTAACCCTAAAATTAACCAGAAAAACGCTTACTGTCCAAAATATTCTACAACGCGAATCGGTCCATTAATCTTTGTATTTTTATCCGATCCATAAAAATATTCCAAAACTTTAATTTCTCTCTTTGCAGCATCCTTAGTGTCCGAACCAGATTTAATTAAAAATTTAATTGCCACACATCTATTTTCCTCAGGCCAATGTGCATGGTAAATTTTTACTTTTCCTTTCTTCCCATTATATATGGGTTCTTTTGTAACAATTAATTTAGTGGGGTTAACTCTCGTATTTAATTTTAAATATACGTTAACTTCCCACACATTAAATTCGATCCCACAAGAACATTTTCTAGTCTCATCTTGTAAAGTATCTGCTACAATGTGAGAAGAATATTAGATTTTTCAGAGAAGGATAAATGGGAAAGTTGATTAAAGAATTTTATTTTTCTATTCCGTTTGGTAATAATTTTTATAATTGAATGTGCACAATATTTAGGCAAATTTACAATACTTACATTTGTCTTCTTCACCATAAATATGAATTCTCCCAAAATCTTTTTCGTCAATTTTCTGTTTATACTCCATTGGAGCTTTCCCTTTGTTTTTATTTTCCACAGGATTGGCATCCATTTTACGACAAATATTACCAGCATCAGATCCTTAAGTAAAATTAAATTTATGTCTTATTTTTAAAATTTAATTTTCAGAAAAGTATAAATGAAAATTTAAGCCATACGAGGTCGAAAATATTTTTAAGGACATTAATCCCGGTTTTCAGTTTGGATCTCGATGGTTAAATGATGTTAGAATTTCGTTTCCTTTGTATTTCTCACATACATTGATAGAAAAGTTTAGAAAAGTTTTTGTGGATTTTTGGCTTGTAAATAAAAATTTTACAAAGATTCCTATGCATAAAAGTTACAATAAAATAAATTCATAAAAATTTTAACTTTAATAAATTGGTGCTTTTCAATTTAGGTATACATAAATAAAGGTTTTTATTACATATTTAAAATTCAGACCAATTCGTAAAGAAAACCCGAGATAATGCCATAAATATAGGACCAATCTAATTTCCGGATCCCGGCACCGGAACTTTAAAAAAATTTTCTTAGCATAAATATTAGAGTTTCACCGGAAGTTCCGGTTCCGGTTCCGGAAAGTTCCGGTGTTTTTTTGGTTCCGGTTCCGGTTCCGGGAACCGGAACTCAAATTGGTTCCGGTTCCGGTTCCGGCTCCGGTTTTCAAATCGGTTCCGGGCAAACCGGAACTTTTTTACACCCCTAAAGATTGATTTTTTTAGAAAAATTAATAAACTACTCGTACTCTCATGCTTGTGTATTAAAAAAAATCGAAAGATTTTTTTTTCTTTCCTTAAAAACTTATTTTATAAGTTTATAATTTTGTTTTTAAAATTATTTTATTTTTACATGGAGTAATTGTGGTTTTTTGGCCCTCTAAATTTCTTAAAATTTTTAGTTTGACTTATAAATAGTTAATTTGGCTCTTGTCCAGTTTATGCGTCCCATGAAAGTATATGCGTCCCATCAACAAAAAATTGAATATTTCTTGGTGTTGCAAAGTAGGAATATGGTTCCAAAGCATTTCTTCATGTTCGGGATCTACGTCCACTGGGTCTGGGACCGTTCCTTACCCTATACCTCGAAATTTCTGAAAGTTAAAATCGTTTTTCTGAAATTTGTAAAAATTGGCTATAACTTTCAGAAATTTCGAGGTATAGGGTAAGGAACGGTCCCAGACCCAGTGGACGTAGATCCCGAACATGAAGAAATGCTTTGGAACCATACCCCTACTTTGCAACACCAAGAAATATCCAATTTTTTGTTGATGGGACGCATATACTTTCATGGGACGCATAAACTGGACAAGAGCCGTTAATTTTTTTGCTTATGGCCTTCATAAATTTTCAAAAATTTCGCCTGCGGCGCTGAAAACGGAAGAAATTTGGCTTCTTGTCCTCACAGATTCTCAAAATTTTTCGCCTGCGGCGCTTAAAAAGAAGTGAATGTTATATCGGAGGATTTGGATGGATTAATTTTGATTTTGATTATATCATGATTTCAAACGGTCATAGGTAATATCGTGGATTTGGGTGTGATATCGAGAAATTGAGTAGGTAGATATGGGATTTTCTTGCAATTCAGAACCTTTTTATCGCCCGATATCAAACAGTTATATCCGACAAATCCGTTTATACACTACTCTCTAATCCACATATATCACTTAACGACGACAAATTTTCGGCTCGGTTTTGGTTAACCAAGTTTCTATTCGGTTAGACGGTTCGTTCAAAACAAATAAAAAAATAATTTGTAGATGTTTTTGTAGATGTTATTTTAAAATTTTTTGGAAATTTTTTTTTAAAAAAGCAGTTAAGTTGAATCCAGTTAAGTTGAAATGTTAAGGACAATTGCTACATTTGATTCAAATGGATGGAATAGAGGGATTAAGAATAATTAAGATAGGATTAAATTTGACCAGAAAATGACATAGATGTGTTAATTTTTGGCGCCTGCGGCGCTGAAAAATTCTTTTAAAAGGGTAACCACCAAAGTCCCGCAGCCCCATGTACTTGCTCCTTTCCAAAATTTCAAATGAGATATTTGTGGACCTTGTAGTTCACTTAATGCCTTCAAATCCTCGGATAACCCCAATATCGATTATATAAATATTTTTATTTAAAAGACCTGCGGTATCCCGGTAAATTTTAGAATGGGATTATCGGATTACGGGATTTACAGGATAAGTCCCACGGGATCATGAAGCAAAATCAGCTTGGACTGTCAATTGACTAGTCAAAATTACCAGCTTGACTGCTCACTTGCAACAGTCGATTATTCACTATGATACCGATAATTAATCATCAATAGATCACTAGGTTCGATCACAAAAATACGCAAAACCCAGACATTTTTCGAACTAAAATCCAATCCGAAATTATTTTTGCATTAGATAGTGATACAATCATCATTTAGCTCACTGAGACTGTTCGAAAATACAAGTTAAACTTCGTTAATGATGATTTAATGATGATTTAAATGATGATTTAAATGATGATTTAAAATTTCATTTTTGAATAATATATTTAATATTCTATTTATTTATAATAAAATCGTGTCAGAATGAACTAGTTTTATTTGAACTAGTTTAATTTGTAGTTACCCCACCCACTTTGTTACAGTAACTTTACGTTAATATTTCTTCTATGTAAAGTTATGCACAAAAAGATTATATTGATGTAAACTTAAGGATTAGAAGATAGAATTAATGTAAAGTTAAGCAATAGAAGAAACAATTGATGTAATGTTAAGGGATGGAAGATGTGATTTTGGAGGTAAAATTGCAGCAAAGTTAAGCACTAAAAGATATTACTGATGAAAGTTAGGGATTAGAAAGTAAAATTACCTTAAAGCTAAAAGTTTGAAGATAAAATGTGTAAAAGTTAAGGATAGAAGATAATATTCGCGTAAAGTTACCGAAACAAAGTGGATGGGGTAACTACTTTTATTGATATGTATTTACCGTATTTACTCTGGTAATTCCCCAGGGGGATTATTGTTTCAACCCATCTCTAGGGTGGGGAATTAATAGAGACTGGGGAATTAATAGAGTGGGGTAGAAAGAGGGGGATTATTGTTTCAACCCATCCCCAGGGTAGTGATGGTCGGGATTCCCGGTCTCGGTTCCCGAGTCGGGAAATTTCCCGGGTTTTTATAGCTCTCGGTCTCGGTGTTTTGGTCTCAAAAAACGAGACTAAATTTACACCCCTAATGACGGAAATTTTTTGAATTTTACAAGTAACCCTCGTACTTTGATATTTAATTTTTTAAGGAAAAGGAAAAGAAATATTTATATTTTTTCTCTTTTTTCCCTTTGATGGTCGATGGTTGAGTGGTTAAGTTGACTGACTTCAATCACTTAGTTATTTTGTTAGGTTTGGGTTCGAATCAGGGATGTGCGTCATGACGTTTTGGCGTGGCGTTTTGGCGTGATTTTTGGCCGATTTTGGCGTTTGGCGTGATTTTCATCTTTTGGCGCGCCAAAACGCCAAAATTATACACCCCTAATGATGGGAATTTTCCAAATATATGGGTAAGTGTTTTCAAAAAAAATGAAATTTTTTTGCCTGCAGCCTTCCAAAATAACCAAAATTTTCGCCTGCGGCGCACAAAAAAGGAAGAAGAAAAACACGGAGACGGACTGAAACCAAGGAACTTTGGCCGGACCAGGTCTCCCCTGTTCTCTCCGATAGAAGTCCAAACTTAATGCATTTTTCTTCAATTCTCCAATATCCATCAAATCCTATTAATCTACTAAAGTCCACTAATGTCCTCCTTAATCCTTTCTAAGTCCCTTACTTCGGGAGGTTAAAGAGGATATCTGGACATCTAAACCCTTCAATATTCTACAATTCTGGGGTTGTGATTTTTCCATTTTTCTTTAAATTTTTTAGAAAAAGTAGGATTTCTGCTTTTGTGCTTAACAAATTTCCATTATTTTGGGTGCAGGCGCTAAAAAAGGATGAATTTTGGCTTCTGGAAGTCATGATAATTCAAAAATTTTCGCCTGCGGCGCTAAAAAGAGATAAACACTTATTTTTCGTGTCTTAATTGAATAAAATTTTTGGCGTTTTGGCGTTTGGCGTTTGGCGCGCCACGCGAAAATTCTGGCGCACATCCCTGGTTCGAATCCAGAGGTTGGATTTAGTCTGAAAAAATTTTTCTTTTCAAAAATAAATGTCTTTTAACTTTGATTTTGATTTCAAATTTATTTTTTTAATATTTTAACTTGAAAAGACATTAAAAATTTTAATTGAATCATGAATTTTTTAAAATTTTCGCATAAGGCGCCTAAATCCTCAGTATACATACTCACTTGCAGCGTAGAAAATGGGAGAAATCTGGCTTCATGACCTCCAAAATTCTCAAAATTTTCGCCTGCGGCGCAAAAAAATGAATCAAATTGGAGGATTTATGGCTTAAAGCCTTACAAAAAACAAGAATTATCGTATACGGCCCTAAATATTAGGGGTATCAATGGACTTGTCGGATATCGGAGCTTATCCCTCCTATCTCTTGGTCTCGACTACCGGTCTCGACCCGGGACTCGGTCTCGGGGTTGATTCCCGGTCTCGGTTCCCGACTCTCGGCTTTTTTTAACTCCCGACCATCACTACCCCAGGGTGGGGAATTAATAAAGACTGGGGGATTACTAGAGTAAATACGGTATCACCTTTATATATTTTTAACAAATTATCCAGAAATCAAAACTGGATTCAGATAAAAAAATCCTGAATTTTTCTGGATCTTGATTTTTCCTGGATCCAGATCAAGAATCCTGTCCTGGTTACTAACCTAGATCCAGGATTTTTGAAAATAACAAACTCTACTACCCATGAAAGTCCGAAAAATATTATTAGCGTCCCAAAAAATAGTAGTATATAAATGCCGCATAAACAAACAATTAATTTTTTTTCTAAGTTTATCTAAAGCCTTGCTCAAGGGCCAACGAGCAAAAAATACATAGTTTAATATAATAGACAGTCTTAAACCATAGTCGGTACTGACAAAGAAACATAACGAACTGTCACCAAAAATTCGTATTTTTTGCAACATTGTGTAGAGCAGGGTCGATAACCTATCGTCAATTTTTGGCTTTTTTGGCGTTGGCCCCCAAATCAAAGAGGGGGCGTGATATGAAATAGTAAAGGTTATCGACCGTGCTCTACACGATGTTGCAAAAATATACGAAATTTTTGGTGACAGTTCGGAATGTTCCCTTGTAAGTTCTAATTTCTTCCGAAAAATGAAAAACCCTAAATAATGGTAAAATATGCAAAAAGAAATACTTTGCAAAAGTGCCGAATTTAAAATAAATGGAAAATTAGAAAAATGTTGAAATAGATGAAATTTAACTTTGTGAAAATAATAATATCAGAAAACTAATGATTTTGACTTCCCTAGACATAATATACCTATGTACATATTTAGTAGTGTTTCACCGGAACACCGAAATTTTGACCGGAACCGTATCTAATTTGAGTTTAGATCCCGGAACCGGAACTTTTTCTTGGATCCAGCTCTGGAACCGGAACCTTAAAAAATTTTGTTGGAAAATTTAAAAAAATTTTATTTTACGTAGGGTTGTCGTAAACATACATTGAAATCCCCCCTCCCCCCTAATCGAACCGAAACTTTCGGTTATTCAAAACCGAACTGAAAATTTGCGTTATGTAATATATTCGGATTAGGGAGTGAAGTAAAACGTATCTGTCGGATATAAGTGAATGTTATCGGACGATACGAAGGTTCTGAATCATAAGTGGGATTTAAGGGATATCAGTGGAATAAGGATGGATATACGTTTTTGAGAATAAGGAAGGATAGAAAGATATTAGTATCCCAAGATGCAAAATCACCAATATAACATTATAACTCTTGATACATTGAAATACCTATTTCACTCCAAATCCCCATTAATTCATGCAAATTCTCAAAAATACCCTATTCTTCATGTTTTTAGCGCAGCATGCAAAAATTTTGTGAATATAGGAAGGCCATGTGTTGTATCCGCACTTGCAGAAAGAACATCTCAATCCTCGGTACCACACCCATATCCCTCGATATTAACTATGATCTCTTGAAATCACACATATAACTTAAGATCCAATTTAATTCATCTAAATCCTCCGATATACCATTAAATTCCTTTTACTGCGCCGCAGATGAAAATTTTTAGAATTTGTGAGGACAAGAAGCCAGAAAATTTTGAGAATATTGCAAGCCAACTGGGGGCAAGCCAACCAATTTGAGTTCCGGATCCAGGAACCTATAAAACGCCGGAACTTTCCGGAACCGGAATTTTCGGTGAAACTCTAATATTTAGAGGAAAAAAAGAAACAAGAAGAGAAAAAGAAAACAAATTGTTTACTGGAATGTATCCCAATTACTAGAAGAAGAATGATGGCCCGAATAATCATGTTGATATTGTGGATTATTTTGATAATGATGGCCCGAATAATGATGGCCCGAATAATCATGTTGATATTGTGGATTATTTTGACTAGGATGTTGATTCGAATGGTGATACAACGGATTACTCGAAAAGTTTTGACTTTCCCAATCTTGCATTTGTTGATAAACATGTGGCTCTTAAATATCGAATCTTATATAAATTAATTATAATATAATACGGTAATTCGCATCCTGATGAGGATATGTGGCTTGTATATGATCATTCCCAAAACTGGTCATTTGTGGATAAATCACTTGATTTGTATTATCTTAAAATGTAAAATTTAGATACACTTAAGTAGAAAACTAAAAAATTTCATATAGAAAAATAAAATAAAAGATCACGCAAATGACCTTTTACGGTCACTAGTCAGTGAATATAATTAACTAGATAATGTCTTAGTTTTTTGTCCAGATCAGCAAATGGACCTTCCAGAATTCTTATCCCTTCAAATCAACTTTTATCCTCTTAATCCTCCAATCTCTTCACAAACATCATCCAATTCAACAGGTATATCTATAAATTCCTTATTTCCACCAAATTTCCTTACATCCACAAAGTTTTTCCTTATTGTCTCTTGCGTTCACCCATGTACACGCTCTATTCTGTTAAAATTTTTATTATTCTAATTACCAAAATTGCTAGAAGTTGATTGGTTTGTGTTTGGTTCATTTTCATTTTCACTATTATTTTCATATTCATTACCATATTCAATATTTTCACCTTCAAACTCTTCTTGATTTACGAACAAATTGGGAGCGCTATATGACTCAATCACAGCAGGAATAAACTGGTCAATGTTTTTTCCTGGATAATAATACATATCAAGATATGCATTATAAAATGTACAATCTGTTGTAGTTTGTTGGACTATTAAACGTTCATTGCAGTGGTAAACAAAACCTCGGACCTGTTAATTTATATATACAAATTGAAGCCTTTAAATTTTTTTGTCTGAAGACTTTAATTCATTAGAAATCAGGAGAGAATCTCTCTTCCTATGATGAGAGATTCGAGAGAAAACACTGGTTATTTTATTATATTTTTTACTTATTTTACGTATTATTATCTTTTACCCCTTATCCTTTTTAATATTTTTGATTTAATTACAATAAGAAATCTTTTTATAGTTCAAATAAGGGATTAATAATTAAAACTCATACAGCTAAAAGCTGATATACATCAACAGCTCTACATTAATTTCGTCTCGCTCAAATTATAATTTTTTAAATTATGTTTCGTAGTCAAACATAATTTGTTATTTCGACTTTTATGAGAGATTCGAAAAGAATGTGCTGTTTATTTCGTGCTTATGGTCTAACTTCACTTTAAAAAGTACTCAGAAAATTTGTTTTACCCGGAGAGTACATATAAAAACTGTACATACTACTTAAAAATTAAACCTTTAATAACGCTTCAACATTCGGTAATGATAAGCGATGAAAATCAAATTCATTTTTTAAATGGTCAATTGCCTCTTCTTCATATTCTTCATATAATTTTCGCAGTTCATAAGTACTTCTTCGATTGAACTTTTCATATGAACCAATTAAATAAATAATTGGTTTCTTTTCATAAAGTAAGCGTAATGCATTTCCTAAATTAATCACTTCTTCTGTTCTCCCTGTTAAAAGTTTTTAATTTTCGATAAAAGTTTGAAATTATAAGAATATTTAATTTTTGAAATATCAAAAAATTGAATTGGACTCTGAGATTTGAGTTAGACAGCATTGTCAGTATGCATTCCCTAGCTTTTCTGACTCTGTTCTTCGAGCTTATTCTACCATTTTCGAAATATATGGAAGTTTTAGAGCAGAGAATTTAAAAAAATCCGTTTCTTCACGGATTCGAAGGAAAATTTTGGATCATGATATAGTCTAGTTCATAATTTATAAAGCCAACCTAGAGATAAAGGCTCTTAGATAATTCGTTTTCATTTGATTTTAAAAGTTAATTCGACGTATATAAAGTTAGCTAAAAATGTGACTTTGAACAGCTCTTGTCTAAAACCTATCTAAAAATTAACATTTTAGAATAATTAAATAGAAATTTTATGATTAATTTTACCATTGGCATCTTTCGTGTTTGGCACAAATAGGTAATCATAATATGAATCATTCATGTAAATTCCCTCATAGTTATCTTTAACCTTTTCAGCCTCCTGAATTAAACAATATATATCATAAAATTAAACAAATTTTCGAAAATTTTTAAAATTTACAACTTAAAAATTACTTCATAGAATTCGTTAATCGCATCACGTTCTGATATTACATCTTCCCATAGTTTAAACATTCCTTCACACAGCTGCAAATTTGATTTTATGTTCCTCTCTGGTATGCCTTTTAATAATGAAGTTGTTGAATTTTTCGCTTTTTTGGCCGTTTTGGCAACACCTTTGGCAGCTTCTTTAATAAGACGACTTGCGCTGCTCGTAGATCCACCAGAGGAATCTCAAATTTAATGAAATGTATACATTAAATTTTATTGAAGGGTCGTTTACATATACGAAATATGTTTGTATGACTATTATAGAACATTTTTTAAGACCTCTTTAATATGTTATACTATCAAATGACTTTTTTTATGTTTGTGATCGGCCCGTACCGTACTACGGCCTTATTTATCGTTGTTTATTGTTAGAACGGTACGGAATAAGTATAGACAAGTTTTTTTGAAATACTGCTGAACACTCCTCCAAAGGGGAGCATTATTATAGGAGAGAGTACTACTTCAAGAGGGAGTCCTATTTCAGGAACTACGGTATATTAAGTTAACATAACTATAACATTTGTGTAATTAATATCTTTAGGAAGTTAAAATATTGCTTACATCCACTTTCATTTGAGTTGTGACTTTGAACTGAAAATTCTCCACTCATATAAGATCTTTCTTCACCAGATCCATTTCCAGAGCCAACGCTAAATTCTCTAGAACCGCTACGATGTGATTTGCTGTGGCTAGAACTAGCTAGTGTTTTTCTTGCAATAAGATCGTATGCACAATCGTATGCTTTATTATGTTCTTCAAATTTTTTAACTAATTTTTCAATTTGTTGTTTTATATTCATTTTATTTTTAACAAATTCGTCTTCTTTCATTTTTTTGTTCCAATTTTTATAATTTGTTTTGAAAACGTTACGAAAATTATCATAATTTTCACTATATAAAAATATAAAATTTTAATCCAACACGTAAAATTTTACAAAAAAAATATATTTTCCAAAAATTTAAGTTTATCTCATAGTTAGCAAATAGTAAAACATAAATATGATCATACAAATTGGACAAACGTTAAATTTAATTAACCGGATCAGGGCTGATCGAAATAAAAATATTTTTTATTTCGAATCGAAACGAAATAAAAAAATTCCTATTTCGTTTCGGAGCGAAACGAAACGAAATGAGCTTGTTTCGGACGAAACGAAACGAAATAAACGAAATAAAATAAAAATTAAAAATTTTTTATTTTTCAGTTCATAAAGGCTTTTAATCGATATTAAAATCATAGATATGCACCCAAAGAGCTAGATGCGTGACAAAAGCATAACAGAAACTAGAGAGGACCCTACAAATCTGCCGATATCCACCTTAATCCCTTAAATCGACATAGATCCACTTTAATCCTCCGATATCCTATTAAAATCCCACGATACTATATTTAAATTCACTTTGGAGTATACCACTTTAGAATCGATCAAGAGAGATATTAAGTGGGATAAAAGAGATATCTTCTATATCCCCCTCCCAAAACTAACGATTCCAAAATCTTAAAATTTTCGCCTGCGGCGCTGAAAAAGGAAGAAATCTGGCTCCATTGATGTCTCCTTAATCCTGTTTGGCCTTACAAAATTCTCAAAATTTTAGTCTCAGGTACAGAAAAATGAAGAAAATACGAGGCTTTAGTGGAGGTAAATCCCTTTAAATTGACATATACCCGCCTTGATCCAATTTGGAGTACAACTCCAGCATATTCAAATCTGGGTTTCAAAATTTTTTTTAATTTTTAGATCACAAATATAAAGATTTAGGACTATGGTAGGTTGGGCGGCGGAAGGCTGGTCTGCTAAACCCGTAAAAGCTTTCTTCCTTTTTACCACCGCAGGAGAAAATTTTTTGAATTTTGGAGCTCAAAAAGCCAAAATTCTTCCATTTCAGCGCCGCAGGCGAAAATTTTTTAATTTTAGGCTGCTCATAAGACAGAAATCACTAAAAAATTAATGATTATTTACTTAAATTCCCGTCATTAGGGGTATATTTTCTCACTTTTTTTTTGTTTCGTTTCGTCCGGAATTTTGTCTATTTCGTTTCGAAACGAAACGAAATAAAATTTTTTTTGTTTCGTCACGAAACGAAACGAAATGAAAAAAAGGGCACGAAAGAGCGAAACGAAACGAAACGAAACGAAATTTCGATCAGCCCTGAACCGGATCTCAAAAACGAGCCCAGTGTACGCCCGACTGACATATCGCCGAAATAAAGCCCAACCTAATGCCGAACCGTACACACAACGTAACGCCAGAAACTCAATACATGAAAAATATTTGTTACTCAAAATACAAAATATTTTCCAATTATGGGAATTATTGTTGCAAGAACGAGTGATTGTTCCAAAATTAGGAAAGTATTTGAACAACGGGGAAGTTCCAAAAATGAATGTAGTTCCAAAGAAGATAATTTAAATTTGTACGGAAATACAAATATACCTATAATACCTATAAAACATGTATTGGGATTGCGGGAAAACGTTGTGAGATGGGGGTGAATAACCTAATGCAAAAATATTTAATAATTAAAACTTTTACTCACATTTCTGCACCAATCTAAATTGAAATATATAAAAAAGTTATATTACCACAATTTTATTTTTCCTCTCCTTTCTTCATAAAAGTAGACAATGGTCAAAGTAACATATGTTATAAGAATAAATTAATTTGGATCTATGACTATAGGTACCCAGCTTTGCATGTTAGAAACTTCTGATATTGTGCGTGTATGAATTTTTGTTTAGGGCTATCTATTTCTACAAAAGTTTTTCTGGAAATGCAGTAACAATTACAAATAGAAATAGTGGCACACACTCATCGCTGGTATATATTCTAATTACAAACTCACTTTGACCAATGCGTACTTTTTTGGAGAAAGGAAAAGAATGCTATAAACTAAAATGGTGTGAGATAATTGAATGCTAAATATAAAAACTTATTTTAAATTTTTAAATGTTCTTTTTAAAAATTAATGTGAAAAATACTAGAACGATTATAATATCACAAGAATTATAATTCGTGTTTAACAAACCAAGGAATCGAATCATTAATAAGATTCGTTATCAGGTAACCTTGACTATAATTTATAGAAACTTTTGTTTTTAAGATAAAGTTCTCAGAGAGCCCGATTCGGGTCAGGCGAGTGTTCGGAACCTACTGACCCATGGAAATTTTTGAAATAAACCCATAATGGAAAATTTTTTTACTTTTTCTTCTTTGACAGTTTCAGCATGAATATAATCATTTATCATATCCCCAATTAATTGAAGATATTTTCCTTCGGCCATAATATTTTCACCCAAAAAATGCGTTTTAATTTGCCCAACTATTAAATTTTTAAACTTTTCAAGATTT